GACATCCTTCTGCAAGGAATGGTGCCTCCTTACAACATGCCCAAAGGATATCAGATAAAGCTTGAGAACTGTTGCATCAAGGAGCATCGGATTTCAGCCTCTCCAGGATGAACATGTTTGTTCTCTTAGCAGTCCATGGTATATTCAGTACTCTGCTCCAGCACCACAGCTCAATTTCTCCTATCATCTCTAGTCAATGTCCAGATTTCTGATGCATAGTAAGTAATTACAAAGAGGATGGCCTAGACCAGGTGCATGTTAGTCTCCAGATTGACATGATTCTTCTTCAATACTCTAGAGATGCCCCTGACAGCATACTTTCCCAGTGCGATTTTTTTAAAATTCCTGGCTGCTGGTACCAAGCGTGTTGATTGTAGAGCTAAGCAAACCGAAGCTGTTAACAATCTCAATTTCTTCATCATCTATCATGATGCTGCCAATCAGCCCATTGGTGAGATTCTTTTTTTTTCTTGATGTTGAGCTTCAATCCATGTTGAAGGCTATAGTCCTTGACCTTCTACAACAAATGCTCCAGGTCCTCCTCAATTTCAGCAGGCAGGTTTGTGTCATCTGCATAATGCAGATTGTTGATAAGTCTTCTTCCAATCCTGATGCCACTTTCCTTCTCTTAGAGCCCAGCCTCCCAGATGATCTGTTCTGCATATAGATTGTAAAGCTTTGAATATAGGACATACGCTTAGCATATACCCTTTCCAGTTTTGAACCATGCAGTGTTTTCTTGCTCTGTTCTGATGACTGCCTCCTGACCCAAGTATAGGTTTCGCATAAGCACAATCAAGTGTTCTGGGATTCCCGTTCTTCTCAGAGTTAGCCACAGTTTGTTGTGATCCACACAGTCAAATGCCTTTGCATAGTCAATGAAACACAGACATTCCTCTTGTGCTTTCTGCTTTCAGCCAAGATTCATCGAACATTAGCTATACTATCCCTAGTTCCACAGCCTCCTCTAAACCCAGTCTGCACATTTGGCGATTCTCTTTTGATGTACTGTTCCAGTCACTTTTGGATAATTTTCAGCAGAGTCTTGCTTGCATGTGATACTAATAATATTTTTCAATAATTTCCACAGTCTGTTGGGTCACCTTTCTTTGGAATGGGAACAAAGATAGATCTCTTCCAGTCAACTTGCCAGGTGGTTGTCCTCCAAATTTCTTGCACGGTTTTGTTAAGCATATCAAGGGCAGTGTCCATTTGTTGAAATATGCCACCAGCAATTCCTGTGGCCTTGTCTTTTGCCATTTCTTTCAGAGAAGCTTGAACCTCTTTGTTCATCACAACAGACTCTTTTATATATGTTGTTTCATGAAATTCTTCTGTGTCAGTTCCTTTTGATATAATGACTATATTATCTGTTGGTCTTTTATACCTCCTGGACACTTAATGTTTCAGTGAAAGCATCCTTAAGTATTACAACGTGAGGCTTGAATTTGTTCTTCAATTCCTTCATCTTAAGAAATGCAGAGCAGCCTTGGCCTTTATGGTTTTCAGACTTCAGCTCTTTGCACATTTCATTAGAATACTTCCTTTGTCTGCCTGTACTGCCCTTTGAAGTCTTCTGTTCAGCTCCTTAATTTATTGATTTCTACCCTTTGTTTTGGCTTCTCTGTGCTCCAGTGCAATATTCAGATTCTTCTTTGACATTAATCTTGGTATTTTATTTCTCTTCTTCCTCTGTAATGACCTTATTAATTCTTCATGGATGATACTCTTGATATCCTTCCACAGCTCATTTTGTCTTTGCTCACAATGTTCAAGCTGCTTTGAAGGAAATAGCAAAAAAATAAGGCCCCTGGAATAGATGCTATACCAATTGACATATTTCAGCTAACAGATGCTGCCGTGGATGTGCTCACCAGGTTGTGCCAAGAAATCTGGAGAACAACCACTTGGCCAACTGACTGGAAGAGGTCTATATTTGTTCCCATCCCAAAGAAGGGCGACCCAAC